GTTTCAAAAACTAAAATAAATTTTCTACAAGATGTTTTTACGGTTTTTTAAAAAGAATCATTTGTCACAGTGATTTAAAGAAAACAGAGAAAAGTAACTTTTTTTGTTGTTATCAAACTGTATTCTCGAATCGATTGATCAAAGTTTTACAAAATAATCTAAGAAATTATATGTTTCTGAACATTGTGTTATCTTCATCAAAATGAAAAAAAAAAACAATTTTTTTCACCTTTTTACAATTTTGCATGTCAAATTTAAAAAAATATTCGAAAAAAAATTATATATTTTTTGAAATTTGTAAAAAATCAAAAACCAATACTGAATAATTTTTGAGACCATTTATTTACCCTCAAATGAATTGCATTAATTAAGCTGTATTCAGCATTTTCTTTACGAACATTTATGCAAAGTTTCAAAAAAGTCAAAAGTGTTTTTAATTATTTCCGATTTTTTTTTAAACAGCAGTGTCGATTTGAATCGATGCAACAGCGTCGGTAATATGTGTCAAAATATGCAAAAACAAGTAAATTTATCAAAAAAAATTATTTCGTTATATTGAAAAGGAGTTTTAAAACGTCGACTGTTGAACAATCGTTGGATAAGTTTATTCAGAAAATAAATTTCAACATACAGAGTGATTTAAAAAGTTTGTATAGCCTAAGTCAGCAGGTTTTTAAAACCACTTAGTTATTCCCAGAAAATTAAAACAAATATTTTACACCAAAATTTTTTGGTTCTTTAAAAATAGTACGAAAAGCCAATTTTTTATTTTATTAATGAGAAACTTCAAAATAAAAAAAAATAAATAGAATATTCAAGTAATAAGTAAAACGTAAAAATGTCAGAAAAATGTTAGCGTTTCTCGAAGAGGTTACAAATTTGTGACATTTGTGTCATATTTGGTACTAACTAAAAAATTAAGTATTTAATTTTTAAAATATAGCCAGAATTATATTTCGCACATCACATCACCGTTATTCCCATGTGCATGAATTAATAAGAATAAATTGATACTAATTATTTTCATTAATTTTACTTAAATCCATATTCTTTCATCTAAACAAAATATTAGCTGACCGCCTTGTATTTTCCCATTGCCTGTTATTTGTAAAGATTATGTTTAAAATGGCCTCATAATATTTTTTCCACTGATGTCATGAAGTGTACAAAAATAAAATATGATTTGTGTTCCAATTTACGATTTTTCTTCGACATAAAAAATAAAAGACGGAAGTTTTAAAATTATAAATGGAATAATATCTCTGCATATTCTCCGCTCTCAGCTATTCTCATAGTTTAGTCTGGGCAGTCTGGCATTGAGAACTTGAAAAATTCGTTACGTATCGTGTTCCATAGATCCATTTTACAATATGAGTCAGAATATGAACGAAAATAAACTAAAATCTAAGTCAGAATGGAAGCGGTTTATTTTTGTCATATAAACATAGTTAGCAATTATTGGTAATATCAAGAAAAAAAAATGTTTGTTAATGCAATCTGTAAAAGAATCTTAAAACAAAAGCAAATTTACAAAAAGCGAAGCGAATATATTGATAGTTTATGTATTATTGTTATAATTTTGACTAATAATAATAAATAGTAACAACTCTTAATGATTATTAATGGTAGTTTACGAAAAAAAAACAAAAAATCGTACAAAATCACACAATTAGTCAGAAGCACAGACAGTGGATAGGCTAATAACTAACACAAATACTGCTAACAAGGCTAACACCTTATACTAGAACATGTTGCTATCATTTAGAATGAAATCTTTATTAGCATTTTTACGTCAAAAGACTAATGAATCTTTAAAAACCCTTTATTTCAAAAAAAAAAAACAATGATCTGATTTTGATTTTATTATTACGTTGAGTATGAAAAAAAGTGAGATTTCATGAGTACAAAGGTACTCGAATAAGTTTCAATTGCAAAAAAAGCAACACTGACACAACCTTTAAAATTAATCTAAATAAAAAGATATTTTTTACACCCCCAAAAGTGAAATTTCCAGCTGCGGTTTTCAGTAGAGTGCATAAAAATAAGACATGATAATATGATTGACTCATCAATTGTCACAAAGAAGCACATTTTATGTCTTGGAAGTAGGTCATCACTACTAAATTTAAACTATATTGTATGTAATATTGTGAAAAAAGTGAGTAATAGAGTCATAAATTTGTGGTAACTGTCTCATTTGCTTACAACTGGTAAGTTTATACAAGGTGTCCCAACGAGATGAAAAAGTCCATTAGTGACCTTAATATGGTAAAATTGTATAGTACATTGATAGATACCAATTTAGTGCATCACCCAAAATTATTTTCAACCAAACAGCATGTCCCAAAAATAAATTACAATACGAACTTGTGTTTTTTTTAATGAAACACCGTATGTTTCTTTGCATTTTTGGATGTTTTTTTAAACTTATTTTATTATTAATTTTAGAAATAAGTCGTTTTTTGACGAAAACATGCACTTTTAAAAAATTTATTACACAAAAACTAAGACAGCTAGAACAAATTTTTTCTTACTTTTGCAAAGAAGAAAGTACAGAATTTAAGGCTGTAGCAATTTTTTAGTGTTTTGCGTTTGTAAAGATTAATAAATTAAGAAGTTTGTTAAAAGTTGAATAACTTGAAAAATTTTAATGAAACACTCTATTTTTTATTTTTGCATCTAATAGATTAAATTGTCTATCTAAAAAAATAAACTTTTAATGTCTAGAATTGATAAATGAAAACATATTTAACATTCAATAATAATTGTAATTGATTTATCCAGAGATTGTAGAAGTCGTTATAAATACTCAAATTGGAATTATTTTATTGTAAAAATAAAGAATAATGGATTCAATTTAACACCAATGTGATTATTAAGTGATATTTCTTCCATTTCTTGTGCAACTGTGCACTTTTTGGCTACTCAAACAATAGTATTTTTTTTAATGTTCAACGTTAAATATCTTTTTAGTTATTGATTATAAACACCTAAAAGTAAATAATTTTAGAAAGACAATTTAATAATCTTTTAAATGTAAAAACAATAAATAGGGTGTTTCATTTAAATTTTTTAAGTTATTGAACTTGTAACAAACGCCTTCATTTTTTTTTATCTTTGCAAATGCAACACACTAAAAAAATGTTACAACCTTATAGCTTGTACCTTCTTCTATATTTCTAGATGTCTTAGTTTTCGTGAAATAAATTTTTATAAAGTGCATGTTTTTGTCAAAAAAACGTCTTATTTTTAAGACTAAACAAAACCGACTAATAAAAGTTTAGCTTAAAAACATTGTCATAAAAATCTACATCCAAAAATACGGTGTTTCATTTGAAAAAACACAAGTTTGTATTGTAACTTATTTTTGAGACACACTGTGTAGTTGAAAATAATTTTAGGCGATAGTATCTATCAATGTCTTATATAATTTTTTTTAAATGTTACCAACTTTCAACTCGTTGGAACACCCTGTATATTAATGTGTCTGCAAAAAGAGTGAATGCTCTCATTGTTGCTTTAAAATTATATTTTTGACCTCTTGCTTGTTCAAATAATTCTTAAAATAATCGTTGCATGATCACGCCTGACCCTACTTCACTCTTTTAACCTTGCACAAAGAGCCCATTGTTTTTGTCAACATTAATTTATGAAAATTATGAATATTAAACCGATCATAAAACCCCAACTGGTTTGAATCTTTTACGACGGGTTATTGCTTGTATTAAATGAAGGGTGAGGTTAAATTGCTTAAAATTCTCCTATTTTATTTTATGATGGTTTTTATTAAACAGTTCGGACTCGTTATAAATCGTAATTGACGAAACTGGAATACTAATAATAAAGTTCTAAAAAGCTAAAAGCTCAATCAATTTGCAAATATTTTAAAAAGTTATTTTTTACTCCTAGTACATATCGTTATTTAAAATGAATTTAAAGTTTTTATTACCAAATTTCATAAATAAAGACACAACTTATTTGAATTGAAACTTCATTTATACAGAGTGCGTCAGAACTCGCGCCCTAGAGAAAAATGCCATGAAAAAATGGAAAAATTTTATCTAAAAAATTGAAATTTTAAATTTTGCACTTTTACTTTCTTTATTTCTATTGGAAAACTAATTAATAAGTTTAATGTTATTTGTGGCTTTTATTGGCAATTTTTTTGTACCTTTATTAAATAATTATAAAAAACATATTCAAGTTTATCAGTATCATTAAAT